ACAAAGTATATGTGAACTGCTGTATGAAAAGTGAATTTACTCTGTAAATCTTCACCCAAATCCTAATAAAAAAAAAACAAACAAAAAAAAACCACTAGCCAGAAATTCAACCATGTACATCTAACACACACTCCCTTATGCCATTACCTGGCCTCCCCCTTCTTTGAATTCTATGTTCTTCTTTTTCTTGTTTCCCTTTTGAAAGCCCGGGTGGTGCAATGGTTAAGTGCTCAGCTGCTGACCAACAGGTTGGCAGCTCAAACCCACCCAGCGGCTCTGTGGGAGAAAATCCTGGCAATATGCTTCTGTCAAGATTATAGCCAACAAAACCCTCTATGGTGCAATTCTACAAGTTACATGGGGTCTCTATGAGCAGAATTGATTCAATGGCACCCACCACCACAGACACTGTATCCTAAAAGTTGTTGATGTTGTTGTTATGTGCCATCGAGTCAGACCCAACTCATAGTGACCCCTCCTTGGGTTTCCGAGGTGGTATCACTACAGAAGTAGATTGCCCAACCTTCCTTCCGAGGGGTGGCTGGTGGGTTTGAACTGCCAGCCTTCTGGTTAGCAGTCAAGTGCCTTAGGCACTATGCTACCAGAGCTCCTATCCTAAAAGTTATCTATGTATTATTCATGCACTATGTATTTATGCCTAGAAGTTAGCATATTTGTGTGTGTGTGTGCACGCGTGAGCTTAAAACAGTTTTGGGGAGGAGTGTCATGCTACGTATACCCTTTGGGCTGGTACTCAGGCTTGATTTAGTGTCTGGGCCAGGGGAGCTCACCTCCTTCGTGCCGTTGTCTTGGATGAGGGTGTAAAGTGGTATCACACGGTTGATTTCCAGCAGCACCGGTGTAGGGCTCAGCTGCTCCTTGCCTGGCCGGCGGCAGAGGTGGCAGGTGGATGGACAGCGGCCCTTCTCCTCACAGCGGATCTCCACCCCTGAGATGAGCTGGTCATCTGATAGCATCTGAGCCGTCAGCAGACCAGAGAGGTAGGTGATGAAGGGCATGGACTTCAGCTCCTTCTTGCTGCCCAGCTCTGTGGTTTCTGGAGAGGTGAGAAACAGGAAGCGTGACAAGAGAATAAAAGGTCAAGAGCATGTGCTAAGGAGCTAGTGTCTCTGTTGGAAGGGAGAAAAGTAACAAAGTCATTTGCTCTGTGTGCTTCAGAAAGAATACTTACCTAAAGGTTCAGAGACCAACATGGTGTCCTATTCTACAATTCACCTTAAATATTTCCTTACCTTCTCTGGGATTCACTTCTGCCATGTTTAAATGGGTAGACTGGAGTCAAAGATTCTCCAGTAGCCTAGCAAGATGTAAATGTTCAAGGATTTTTTTCCCCCAATCAGAAATTCCTTTCTGTCTACTGTCAGTGTATCCAAGCCTGATGTTTCCTTTAAAAAATTACTTTCACCCTATATTTCCCATGAAACTCCACATAATTCAGGAAACAAGCTTTGGAGTCAAATCATTTGTTGTTTAAATTTCAGTTCTGCTTCATAATAGCTTTGCAATCTTAGGAAATTCTCTTAATATCCAGGAGCCTCTTGTGATTAATTCTATAAAATGGAATTGATAATACCAACCAAATTGGCTTGCTATGGATGGTGAATGTGATAGATTGAGATGAAACTATCTGGAAAAGAGTAGATGTATAATAAATTATTCTCCTCTCTTTCCCTGCTCACCTGTTATCTTGTTCAAACTTGGCTTCCTGCCTTTCTTCATCCATATCCTGAAATCTTGTATTCCCCACCTCTGTGTCTTTGCGCACCATCATTATGCAGCCTAGAATGCCCTTCTTCCTCCTTACTCCCAGCCTCTCCAAGTCTTTTCCATCCATTAGAGTCCCATCCTGATGCCACCATTCTCAGGAAGTCTTTCCTCATTGTCCCAGTGCTTCTTTTCAGAGTAAGTATTTCTACTTATGAGACCTCATCTTGTTAAGTTCAGTTTTCTTTCTCATTTTCCGCTGATCTCTACAACCAAATTATCAGCTCCTGGCCGTGAGGACCAGGGGCCTTGTCTCCCACTTCTGTTCCCCCTTTGTGTCCAGCATGGTGCTAGGGATGTACTGGAGACTCAAAGAGGGAGACTATAGAACTTTTAATGGCTTAATTGCATTCATGATCTTCTCCAGAGGCTCTCAAATTCTTCTAGGAAACTTTAGCAATCCCAGGAAGCATCCTATCTGCTTCTAGAAGGCAAGAAGGAAACAGAGCACACAGAACTCTAAACCCCTATCCTGGCTTCAAATAAAGCAATTTCACTTTATCTCTTTCATTGACTGGCCTTCTATATAAGATTTCACTAGAAGAAAGTGTTCTATTACCATATCAAAAAGTTTGAAGAAACCAATTGATTTGCACAAACCAGAAGGTTCTATTTATAGAATAGGCTATGTCAGTAGTGTCCTCAAGGTTGGGCAATGCACAATCTAAGTGGCAAAACAGGGCTACCCTGTACTGAGAGACAGAACTTCATTCAGATGGCAGCTTCTTCTAAGCCTGGTGAAGTCAAGGCAGACTCCTGCTTCAGTGAAAGCAGGATCCTGAGCACTGAGGCCTGGGAGAGAAAGTAAGGTTGTCTCTTGCCCTTGCTGTCGGCTTGCAGTGACATGCAGCTGATCTGTAATGGGCTTGCCAATTAGAAATACAAATAAATGCAGCCTTCATTCATTACTCCCCGGGGCCTGGGGCCTGGGATCTGGGCTCCACCTTTTCTGTCTGGCTGTCAGCATATGCTTATGAGCACCAGATCAAAGGCTCTGGAAGAGGAAGACAAGGCAAATTCCAGCTAACCAATCCTTCAGGAGGATTAAAGAAGGGTAGTAACTAAGATAAACAAAACAAGGCTGTGAAGAAGGCATCTCAGCAGCTGGGGAGACAGCCACATACACAGACATGTCAAAAGAAGATGATGACAAAATGTGGAAGTGCAGGCCAGAGGGATAGGGATAGTTTTGGAGAAGGGTGACTTCAACCCTGGGAAAGCCACACAGGGTATAAGGTCAAAGGGAAGCAAAAGCTGTGAGGGCATTAGAGATCAATTAGCCCACAGTCTGGCCCAGGAATCATCAAACTATAAGTCAAAAGCCAAAGCCAGCCCACTCCCCACTTTTTGTTAAGAAAATTGTATTGGAATACAGCCACACCCATTCATTTATGTATTTGCTATGTCTACAATGGCAAAGTTGAGTAGTTGCAACCATTTATTACTTGGACCTTTACAGAAAAACAGCTGCCAACCTCTACTCTATCCCCATGGCTAGATGAGGAAACTGAAGTTAAGAGAAAGGATGCACTCAAGGTCACACAAGGAGTAAGGCATTATGATGGATTGGTTAAAGTGAAAACCTCAGAATCAAATAGACCATCAATACCCAAGGGTTGTGAATTTTCAAGGAGGAAAAACAGAGTAGGGCAACAATATTCCATAGAACAACCTTCAAAACTATTGAAAGAGTACCTTTTGGAAATGCTGATCATGTACAACTCTCTATTTAAATAAGGAAAAATTGTGTCTCAAAGACTTTTGAAGGTTACCCAGTGAGTTAGTGGCCCTACCAGCACAGGACTCTATTCTTCTGATAACCTATTTGTTGATTAAACTACTGTCACTTCTGTTTTAAAACTCAGATGGCATTGCCCCTCATTGCACCTGGCCAGATGCACAAAATTAGGAAGAAATATAACCTGGTGCTGGGAGTAAAAATTCCCTTGATCAAATAAACAAATAAAAACCAAACAATCATTGATAGTCATTGGGTTTAAGATCTTTGTAGATCTTTGCTAGTCTGCTTCTGCCAAAAAAAACCCTTCGGCTTTCTCCCACAGATCTATTCCAAAAAGTAGGATTAGGGGTGGAATGAGATGGGAAGTGCTCACTAGCTAAAAGCTCATAGGCTGAAAAGAACCCTCAGAAGAAACCTAGTATTCAATGCTGAGTTTAGGGATTGATCTTGCAACAGGAAGCTCCTCCAGATCATCTGGCCCAACTCTACCTCTTAACAGATGAAGAGCCTGAAACCTAAACGGGGAAGAGAATTTACCTTTAAGTCACAGATACATTTATTAACAATGATCCTCAAAGATGTTGTCTTGCTTAAGTTATGATCCGGTAGAGAGTTACAACCGGGAAGAACATTAGCCTTTCCATTAATTATTCCTATGTAGACATTACAATTGTGAAAGTTAATTGCTTCTGAGTCAACTCCACCCTGTGGGTAGATTCATCCTTTTAAAGGGCAAACCCTACATTCCCATACTGCTTAAAATTCATCAATGGCACTCAACTGCTCTTAGGATGAAGACCAAAATTCCTTAAAATGTCACATAGGCCCTGTGACTTCTCCAGTCTGATCCCATATCTCACTCCTCCTAGCTCTCTTCCTTTCAGCTTCATTGGCCTTTATGTAACTGAATACACCCTGTTTCTTTTTCTCTCAGACTTGGCACATGCTTTTCTCTCTGCACAGAATCTTTCCCTCATCTCACCCCCACCCCTTGCCTTCTCCTGGCTAACTTTCCGCTAGTCCTTCAGATCTTAGTTCAAATGCCAGTTTCTCAGAAAAGCCTTCTCTGAACTCCATCCCCATGCCACCAAGCTACATTAGGGCTTCCTATTAAAGATCCTCATAGCATCTTATTCTCTGTATCACCTGTTAATGCCCTGAGACTATAAGCTCCATGAGGCCAAAGGTAGTGGTAATTTTGCTGATTACCATATCTTTACATAGTACCTGGAGCTTTGAAAACACAGAAAGCTTTCAATAATATTTTTTAACAGATATATGTTGAATATATACTATATGAATATTCCCTTATCACTGTGCTATGTAATCAAAGTATTGATGACTCTAAAAGCCAAGGTTTGTAAATCTCAAGCATAACTGAATTCATCAATAACTTTATTGAAGACACATCTCTTCTCAAATTAAAATAAACTGTCTCAATTGAAAGGTCAACAGGTGAATAGTTGGTTTTGCAAACCTCATGTGTATTTTCACATTGGCCTTTGCCATTGTAGGAATGGGAGAGTTAGGTTAAAGCAGGCTGCCTTTAACAGGCCAATGATAAAAAACATATCTGAAGACTTATCCTCTGTTCACATTTCCCATTCCTCTGAACAATGCTTCCAAAATAGGATCATGTCTGGTTTTAAGCCCAATTCAGTTCCAATGACACTACAACCCATTCATTTGAAAACCTGTCAACTGAACCCTCTTTCTTCTCCTCCCAAATTCCTGCTGGATATTGTTTTGTTGCCACCAAAAAAAAAAAAAAAACAACTCTCAGTTGAAATGACAACTCCTTGGTTGGAAGAGCAACCAGACTTTTCAGCAGGAGGTGATGGCACCACTTGCCCTCATCCAGAAAACAAAACAAAAGCGTCAGACTAAGGGCTTCTGGGAGAGCCAAGGTTCGTGGATGTTTGTTCAGCATTCAGCAAAGTGCAGGGCGCTGCCTCCCAGTCGGATAGGCTTGTTTTGGCAATCGGCTTGGACTTGAAGCATTTTAAAGGCTTCACAGGGACCAAAGGGGCTCAAATTAGAAACGTTAAGGGTGGGGGAAGGAGGGTGAGACTTTTATATCATAAAGAATGGCCTTTATTACAGCATTGGCCTCTCAAGAATTGCTGAAATGGGATCATTTCTTAGGCGGAGTTACTGTCTCCTTTTGGAGGAAAGCAATTGCTCTGAAGCCTGACTCAAGGACAGACACAAATACCCTTACAAAGGAAAGTGGCCAGTTAAAACACCACTGGCAAGGCCATCCCCTCTGTGTTGTGCAATTGGAACTTCTCAGCAGTTTAACAAAGTCCAGCATCGTCAGTACATCCTTTATAAATAATACCAGTTGCTGTTGAGTGGATTCTGACTGACAGAGACACCATGTGTGTCAGAGTAGACTATGCTCCACAGGGTTTTAAATAGTTGATTTCTGGAAGAATATGACCAGGCCATTCTTCTAAGATACCTCTGGGTAGACCCATACCTGCAACTTTCCCATAGCAGTACTGACCTAAGGGAGTTATTGGTAGGGA